GCTCATAATGACGAGGGCTTCCGTTCGGCATTTGATACGCTCCTCAGTACAGTCTTGGAAGTATACTCTCCTGAATCGCGGCCCATCCGTCGTCTACGGGTCATCTTGATGGGTTTGCGCTTCTCTTTGGAGCACTCAGGTTCACTAGAATTTTCAACCATCCGTCGACTTGTCGAGGAGAGCGTCAAATGCCTCGACAGCGCTCAAGAAGTTGGTAGCGATACTGATATGGAACTTTACGCAACGCACTTGAGAAATTCAGTTTGTCTCACTCTAGGTCTTCATGAGGGGAACCTACGCTCAGATGATTTGGATCGGATACTGTGCTCGTGGAATTCGATGATACGCAACTGTCCAGACAAAGACGCGCTCTCTTCGTGCATTGACGATGTGGACTATTACTTTCTTCAGGTCAAAGCCATTGTAGATTACACGGAGATTTACGGGCTCTGGAAACTCCAGCTCGTCGCTCTTGAACTGGTCCTACGCATCACGGAGGTCCAAGGGACTAGGGATTTTTCTGAAGCCGTGATCATATTGTCACGTTTGGTTTCGCAGTACTGTCGCTTAGGGCACTGCAAGAAGGCTGAAGCTCTTCTTACACGTGCGGATCGATATCTGAACGAAAATGAAGTCTCTTGCCTAGCAAATCTATCATACCGACTCGCCCGAGTGGAATACCTACTCGAGACGGGAGAACTGGAGAAGGCAGCAGGCATTCTTTCGGCATCAAGGCTTCTGTACGAGAAGAATCAGAAGAAGAAGGACCTGAGTAACGGCTCTATCCTATCCAAGATAGGATGGGAAAGATTGGTGGCGGATGCGGTTCTCATGAGTTCGCGGCTTTCGTTCGCTCAGGGCTCTGTGTCGCAAGCTCTTTTCTTTGCCAAATTATGCGTCAAATTGAACTGCCGAATCTGGGCTAAGGTCGAAAGAATATCCCAAAGGAAGCAGGAGAGATCGTTGTCTGCAAGCCGCAGCTCCGACCTTGAGAGTGTTGTTGATGGAGTGGCAAGGCTTGACGTGTCCCAGTCGGTCTCCACGACAAACCACACCGTCACTTATTCTCAGGGAGCTCCGTTTTGGCCTCATGTCGGCTCGCATCATACTGCTCTCTTGAATCTTGCATATTTTTCTGCCCATTATGGTCTATTTCAGGACGCTGTCTACTACGGGGAGCAAGCCCTGAAGATCAACAGAACCCTCAATGCGAACGTCCGCTTGATCGCTTCCCAAGCCCAGCTGGGCTCTTATTGGATATTTGGTGGGCGTCTCTCTGAAGGTCAAGAGCTTCTAGCAGCTGCAGAACAACTATCAAAGCAGTTGGAAAGCAGTGTTGAGCTCGCTTCGCTGCAGATGAGCATTGCCTCCCTTCACAGACTGCAGGGCAACTACCACGATGAATGGCAAGCTCTCCTGAGGGCGGACCGGATAATGGCCGACGTGACAGCCTTGGAGACAGCCGAACCGCTTCCTCTACAGTCGACCATTTCTGAGCTGGAAGATGGAATGGACAAACTACGAATTCGGGGAAGTAGCAGGAGAACACAACCTAGTACAACGACAGCCCGGCGAACTCGTGCGACTACTGTATCTTCAAGGACAGCACCGAAGCAGTTGACCGGCAAACCGGACGCAAATGGAACAATGTCGCAGTCTATCTCGCACCTTAGAAGCGGCATTCTCCAACAACAGGCAGCATGTTCGCGTGCCCTAAGAGAGTTTGACAAAGCCTCGCGACTGTTGGCTGACGCGCGGAAGTTTGCTACGTCTCGAACCAGCCAAATACCGTTGCATCTGAATGAAAGTGAACATCACCTTGCTGAGGCCGTACGGCAATTCGCGTCGCATGCGGTCTACTGTGTCCTGCCAGAATCGACAATATCCCTCCCTGCTTTACAATCGCCGAGGAAGGTAACGAACGAAACGACCCCTTCCACTAAACAGTCCACTACACGTAAGTCGCGAGCAACTGCCAGAGGAACGCGGACCAAACATGCCAAAGCTAGCGAGGATTTCATCGATATTCTGTCCAAGGCTGGTGATTGCCTGAACAACGTATTTTCGGCTGCAACGGCTCTGGGATCAACTTTGGATAGCCATATGGCGTCCCGGCTGATGAGTCGCATTTCAATGTTGTCGCATACGACTGCGCCTGGGAGTCCAATGCCATGGTCTCAACCGCCAGCGAATGTGAATGGTAGGTGTTGGTCTAATCGTCAGTACTGGATAGATCACTAACTGAGCTGCCAGAAATCGGCCGCATCGGCTCCTTTACGCGCGAACGAATCGCTATCGGTATTGATAGGCAACTTTCCGACTTCAATGATCCGCTGCTTTGGCCAGCTCAGGGCTCTACAGCAGAACCAGAGGCAGACTTATGCAGCACCTTTACTGAAAAATATATCGATATTCTTCCGTCTAACTGGAATGTACTTTCCTTGTCCCTCAGCGCTGACTGCACGGAATTCATTATCTCTCGGCTACGCAAGGATCACTCGCCCTTCCTCCTTCGACTTCCATTAAAGAGAGGGAACGCCGAAGACGACGAGGATCAGTTCACGTTCGAAGACGGAAGAGGAGAGATGACGGAAATTATCAAGCTGGCGAACGAAAGTGCACACGCCGCGAAATTACAGAAGGACAGGCACTCCAAGAAGGAGTGGTGGAGAAACCGCGAAGCCCTCGACCAGCGCCTGCAGAACTTGCTGCAAAACATTGAGAACGTCTGGTTCGGTGGCTTCCGGGGGATCTTTTCACCCGTGGCTCACGAAGAATCTGCCCTCTCGCGGTTCGCAACGTCGTTTCAGAACATCCTAGACAAGCACCTCCCTTCCAGACAAAAGGGCGGCCGCGCAGCAACTCCAAGGTTGTCATTACATCGCAATGTCTTGGAGTTGTTCGTTGGCGTGAACGACCTAGAAGGCCAGGAAGACCCTGAGGAGACATTAATGGATCTTTTGTACTTTGTGGTCGACATCTTGCAATTCCAGGGGGAACGCAATGCCTATGACGAAATCGACTTCGATATGATGGTGGTCGAGACCCTTGATGCTGTACGAGGCTACCATGAAGCGGCACGCCGCTTACGAGAAGGACAACAACCGCAACACACTGTCTTGGTCCTAGACAAGGCACTCCACTTGTTCCCGTGGGAATCACTTCCATGTTTGCAAGGGTTGCCGGTATGTCGTGTGCCGTCCTTAGAATGTCTGCGCGAGAGGATTCTCCAGTCTGAGAGTATCATCAAAGTAAAGGGCAATGGCCCCGGATTTGCTATCGATCGCAGAAATGGTACATATATTCTCAACCCTACAGGAGATCTTCAAACAACGCAAGACACTTTTGAGGCAGACCTTGGCCGCTTGGCTACCTGGACGGGGATCGCCAAGCGAGAGCCGACCGAAGAGGAGTTCAAAGATGGCTTGGAATCCAAGAGCCTATTTTTGTATTTTGGCCATGGGAGTGGCGCCCAGTATATCCGTGGAAGGACCATCAAACGTCTTGACCGATGCGCAGTTGCGTTCCTCATGGGATGTAGCAGTGGCACACTGACCGAAGCGGGCGAATACGAGCCATACGGAACCCCAATGAATTACTTGCATGCAGGCTGTCCCGCTCTCGTTGCGACGCTGTGGGATGTAACAGACAAAGATATTGATCGCTTCGCCAAGTCTACGTTCGAGAAATGGGGACTTATCGGAGGCCGGGATACCAATGACCAACAAACGACGCTCCCGAGTAAGGGAAGGTCCCGATCGGCAAAAACGAGCGGCACTGAATCTTCTGGCCCAGTGACGCTGGATGAAGCAGTATCCAATTCACGAAGTGCCTGTGTCTTGAAATATCTGAATGGCGCGGCGCCTGTCATCTACGGCATTCCTTCGGTGTTTTTAGAATAGACATGTACATTCTGTGTTTTGGTGTTGGCGTTTGCTCAGCGAGATTGGTCTGTTTCGTGCACTGTCGGAGTTTTGGAAAGTAGATACATGGTGGATGTCCCAATTTGTGCATTTATTATTGGTGTTGTGCATTTACATCCTGTGTATATTTATGAGATCAAAGGCGACGGAGGACTTGTCCTTTCCATGGTCAGTGCCCCAATACAATATACGTAACCTCTGCCTTAGTCAACCCAAGTCCCCAACTACCTAGCAACACAAAACCATCCACCATTACCTGGACCAGGTGAAGACTGCGTTTATTATAACTCACAGACTCAAAATGGCCCGAGAGGACAAGTTTGGCCCTGCCTGCCCAATTCCCCTGATTTACCAGCCACATGAACGTGTTGAACAGCTTAAAGAACTCCTAAACGATTCTGAACAGGAACGCCAAAGGATCAACATTATGGCACTCATACGGATGTATGAAAGTGGGGAGCTTGGGCCCCTTACAACCGGTCATAGAAGCTGGCTCTGTGATGGGAAGATCATGGATAAATCGCTCATCAAAGAGAACGGTATTCCTAAGATTCCTGAAGGGTCCGTTGTATGGGCTGAGGTTGGTCTGCACCTTCATTACAAATTAGTAAATTTCTTACCATTCATCTAGGGAATTGGTATGCAGATGATGCAGGGTCACCTCTAGTAACTATCTCTCTACACAGTGAAACAGTCCTCACATTCTGTATGTGTAGTTCATGTCCATAAAGGGCAATGTTTTCCGGCATGCAGGATCCACAGCGTGTTTATCATTCGCCTGGAGACTCGGTATTTATTTTTGCTAAGAGGACATCAGACCATTGATTGGAGGAAGCTATTCTGGTAGTCTAGGACCTCTCTAGATGGTAGAGTATCTCCATCTGATGTTGGAAAGAAGGTGGGGAGAAGACAGGAGAAATAATGATGATGAAGTTGCTGCCCCTCACGGTTCCCCTCATTCCCCTCCCCCACCCCTCCGTCACAAAAACCATCCGCTCCATCTCGTCATTCTTCTGCTACGATCTTGCAGCTTGACACTCTGCCACAGAGACCAACTGAGATCAAGATCCCCCAACCATGTCCGTCACCACAAAAGCCACAATCGCCTCCTTTGGCGGCAAGCTCCTGAAGCTGAGCCATGCCGCCACCTCGACAAAATGCGAGATGAACTTCAACCTCTACCTGCCCCCACAGGCCTTCCAGAACTCTTCCCAAAAGATCCCCGTCCTCATCTACCTGTCCGGCCTCACATGCACAGCCGACAATTGCTCCGAGAAGGGCTTCTTCCAGCACGGCGCAAGCAAAAAAGGCATCGCAGTGCTCTACCCAGACACCAGCCCTCGTACGTTACAGCAAAACACCCCGTCCCCGGTGAAGGAATGAACACACATACTGATGCAATGCACCGAGAACAGGCGGCCTGAACATCGAAGGCGAAAACGACTCATGGGACTTCGGCACGGGCGCCGGTTTCTACGTCGACGCGACAAAGGCGCCCTACGATAACGGGTACAACATGTACACTTACGTCACCGAGGAACTCCCCAAGACGGTCTTCGCGGCGTTTCCGCAGCTCGACTCGAGCAGGGTCAGCATCACGGGACACAGTATGGGCGGTCATGGTGCTCTGACGCTGGTACGTTGACCTGTTCACAGAAGCCAACTGGCTCGAAGCGAATTTGACAGTAGGGGGGCTGACAAAGTGCCGCGCGTGACAGTTCCTCCGTAACCCAGGCAAATACAAATCCGTCTCTGCCTTTGCGCCCATCGCGAACCCCATTAACTGCCCCTGGGGCCAGAAGGCATTCGCGGGCTACTTTGGCGAAGACCAGAAAGCGAAATGGGCGGAGCACGATGCTACGGAGCTGGTGAAGAAGTGGAAGGGGCGGTTGGATGTCCTCATTGACGTGGTCCGTGTCTTTTTGCAAATTTTCCTCTGATTTGGAGCGAGACTGACTGAATGGTGCAGGGTACCGGCGACAACTTCTACAAGCAGGGCCAGCTTCTCCCAGAGAACTTCGAGAAGGCCGCCAAGGAGGCTGGCGTCGAGGGCGTCAATATCCGCTACCAGCCTGATTACGACCATAGTTACTACACCATGGCGACGTTCTCTGATGACCATGTCGAGCATGCGGCCAAGTATCTCTTTGCTTAGTGGGTTCCCCCCCTGACAATTTTGTAATTGTGTTGTTCAGTGAAGCATGCAAAGCTATCCGAGTACTTCGTTTGAAGACCGCTGTCGCTGTGGATGCTGAAGCGCTCTGCCTAATTGTACTTGTACCTGGCGTCTTCTGATGATGATAGCGGATAAAAGTGAGCGTCGGGCGCCGAAGTCACATATATAGAAAGGTTAGCAGGCTGGCTGGTACGATCACCTTGCAGAGAGCAACAATCTTGTCCAATATACAGTATCTACTACTACCTGTGTACAGGAGAATGGACAATCAAAATCATACTCTTGATGTTGTATCTCATATTTTTCATGATTTATCATTAAGATCTCAAGACCGTACATACGTAAACCCTCGTTGATGGGTATCCCCCGTCCGCTGACCATCGGAAATCTGCCACGAGACTGATAAACGAGTCGAGTCGACTGCTCGCAAGATACCGACAACTCCACTGGCAAGTATGCCTCAGTCATAGAACTCATCCGAGACCGCCATTCCCCGTAACCAAAACCCAGCCAAAATCCAGGTCCTCACCTCGTACCAGCAGCGGTCACCCTGACCATGCGGCTCTCTCCGTTTTCTGCATTGCCTCTGCCTCAGTAGCAAGGTTGTCTCCTTCTTCTCCAACTCATCGCTTCCGAATAAATCGAGATGACAAAGAACGCTGTATATCAACGCCTAATCATGCAAACGAATGCCTCACCAACTATATACTTTTCTGTACCGGTGGTGTAGTGAAGTCATGACAATGGGAAGGAAGCGCGTGCCGGGGACAGACCAATCAGTGTTTTAAAGGACCACATGAGAACATCAGTCATCAAACCAAACTGTGGGGGAATCTAAAAGGAAGTGAAATGACTCTGAGGGATGCTGAAGAGTATGGGTGAATAGAAAGATGGGAAAAGTAAGAAATAGAGATGACCCCGTCCGAGGTAAAATCATAACCATATCATGCGCTCAATCGCTGGATGAAAGACTGTACCAGTTCCACATCAGCTATTCAAATCCAGATCGAGAGAATGATGGAAGTTTTAAAGACATACCGGAAAGAATTGCCGGAACCCCTTCAAGTCCAGCCGGCTCAAAGCACCCACAAACTCTTCAATCAATTCTGCACCCATACCCATGCCGGGCAGTTCACGGTCGCGGAGATACGCAAGGTACTCCATGCCTGTTTTGGAGTATATCGTACGCTGTAACCCGCCAGCTTCGGCAAGAACCTGCTTGGCTTGCGCATCCTTGGAGTTGAAGGAAGGTGTCGAGGGCAGCGCCCAGCATAATGGCGAGAATCGTGTAATCATGAACTGGCCAAAACCGGGCAGCGGAGCTTGTGATGGAGGGGCCCCGTTGGAAGCTTCCGGTATGACATCCGGACCGCCCCACGCGCTGCTCATCTTCGAGAGAACAGAGAAGGCCATCTTCGCTGTGGTAAAGTCATCGATATCTTTCGAGAAATGCTCGATAGTGGAGATGACGGTCTCAAAGATGGGTTGATTTCCTTGCACTGGGTTAGCTTATACTAGACCTAGGACTGACTGTTGGTGATGAGGACTCACTTTCACTGATGATGACAGCACCCAAGTCATTGTTCAGAACGGCCAGCAAGAAATTCAGGTATTCCCGTTTCAGCTCAGCCAGTTGAATCTCATCATCCGTGCCGGTTGTGGTATCGGCGATTCCGGAGAACACTCGTTGCAAGAAGGGGGTTAGTAGTGTGTCAAGGATGGAATAGATTTCGCCCTTGAATCCGAAAATAACCTGATCTAGGAGACGTAGGAACAGTGCCATCTCATCGCGCGAAGAAGTCTGAGTAAGGAGGCCGTCAATCCACCTTGGCAACTGTGGCAGAATTCGAGAGCCGAGGACGCCGATGAGCCTCGAGAACGCAAACCGGGCAGCTGTCCGAACATTGAATGACGACTTGAGGGACTCCAAGGCAACCAGCGTGGCTTCCGACACCTGATTGAAGGCTGCTGAGACCTCGGGTGCAGGTAGAGTAGCGGGCGTGTTCGTTCCAGGCATCCAGTCTGAAAATCCGCGGGCAAGGGTTCCCAGTGCCATGATATCATGATGAATCTGTAGAATGGCTCGTTCATCGTGTGACTTAGCCGCTTCCAGGTTCTTCTCCATGTCGAGGAATATAGGATTGAGCACCGATTGGGCATAGAGGACCTGTTTATCCGCGGACACGGTGGGAGTCGAACAGATGATACCGACAGCTTCGAAAAGATACAGCTGGCTGTTAAAGATGGCGTCGGCTAATTCGTGGTCCTCCGAGGACATCTCATCACCGTCAGATCCCTCGGAAGGTAGTTCAGCGCGAATTACCAGGAGATCACCAAGGGCTTCCACAACGGTTTGCGCGACATTACCGACGTACTGCCTGAGTTGCTTGACCAAGCGCTGGAAAAGGTACCAAGAACGAGTCTTCACCTTCTTGATAGGATGGTGAACCAGTTGAAGGAAGTTCTCCAAAACACCTGGAATTAGATGCGTATGGTGCTGAAAGAATGAGCTATAGCGCACGCAGATTTCCATATACTGTAATTGCGTCGCCGGATGGGTGAATGAACGAATGTCTAAAACGTCGTTAGCCCGATTATTGAGATTATCCATTCGATATACCTACCGGACTCGACCATCCTGGCCATCATTTCGACGAGCCTTTCGGCAGCCTGGTTGTTGGGATTACCCTTGGTGTAGAGACTTCCGGCCTTGACTGCGAGATCTCCAAACAAGAACATTTCATGCAAGGCAAGGTCCAAGTCACGCCAGTCCATTTGGGAGCCGGACTGCCGCAGGTTCTCAAAGGTCGTTGCCACCATCTCCGACACAGCCTCCATGTACAGCTGTTCATTGACCGAAGCAATCATCTGCTGAAGGACACCAAGTCTCTTGCGAAGTTCTTGGAATTCTGCCTCGTCCGTCTGCTCATCTTCCTCACCCCACGAGGAGGTCTCGTCGTATCGCATCTTGGCAATAATAGCCTTCAAGATCGGAAGGAGGATCGAAGAATGCTGGGAAGCAAGGGCGGGGTTGACTTTGGCGATTCTTCTCAAATAGGTCAAGAGGTCGCTAACACACGAGATGACTGTTGAGCAGACTTCGTCATATTCATCGGAGAAGTATCTCAGGATATGGGGCAGGAAAGCCTGAAGCAGCCCATTGGCTTTCTCCTTGCACTCAGCTGAGACGCCTTCCTGTTCCAATGCCCGTACAATATCAATGACAGTGATATTGACTAACTTGGCGACGGTCTCCGCCAGATCGGTGTCATATTTGAAGGTGAACCTATTCCCGTGCAGAGGGGGGCTATTGGAGAGTTGAGAAACAATAGTATCGAGATTCAGGAAGATAATCATGTCGATCTTGTCCTCCGGTTTCATCTTCTTGCCGATGATCTCCGTGAAGACGTCAACCGCCGCATCCCGTACCTTCTCTTCTCCTTGTCTCAAATCCGCTTTCTCCGCGCGGCCCAGCTGCTGGAACAAAAGATCAAGCATTGTCTGGTTCACTACAAGACCGATATCAATCCAGCTGACCCAGCTGCCGACAGCCTTCAAGCACATCTCCACGATTACGTCGTTGCCGTCCCGCCATTCCGACAAAATCTGTTGCCATGAGCTGGTGATCATCTGCATATCCCTCTGCCGAATGAGGTCCTTGAGCGCATTCGCCTTGTCCTGTTCACCGCGGGATCGCGAGACCAAAACATCACCAATCTCGTCGTGGATAGAGTTGATAACCCGAAGGTAGAAGATAATTCCGGAGGCATTGTCGCGTGTCGTGCTCGAGGGGCTTCTGTGGGTCAGACTGAGCAGATCATCAAAGAATGATTCCCACCCGCTGGCGTAGAGTGCAGAGAAGAGAAAGGTGATGGTTTGGGCGATTTTGTTCTGGATGTTCGGAGGGTCGGATGCTCCTGCGTCCTGTCCGTACACCTGCCGGAGATACGCCAACAGGCCATCCTTGACGAACGCTAGGGCCTGCAAGTCTATCAAACCGCCCTGTGCAGCGCTATTGACCACTTCCAGAGCCACATGCCTCACGATACCCGAGCGCTGGGGAGTTTGTGTGAACAGTGAAAGGCAGACCTGCCATCCCGACGGGTCGGAGCGAAGCTGGTTCACGAATTCGAAGGCTTGCGTCTTAAGGGCTGGGTCTGAGGACGGATTCGAGGCGATTTCAATTGCATTTGCTACCTAGTTCGACAGTACACTGTTAGGCTCATCTCGTCCGGTAGAATCATCGTTGGTCTTGGAGTACGTAGACATTGTGGGAGGTTACGGAGGGGCACGCGAGGGGAAGGGTGGTGGGGTGGCCTTTTTTTCCCATTTTTCTCCCACTTTTGTGAAGAAGGACTCAAAAGCCACAAAGAGTTGGCATGAGGTTGCTCACCTGCTCTTCCATCTTCGACCAGCCGGGCTACCTTCGGAGTCGTGAGGACTCTGAAAGCGAAAATAGCGGTGATTCAAGAAAAAGTGGTTTGTCGGGATCAAAATCAACGGCGGTGGAGAGTCATAGCACAGAGGGTCACTAGACTATCGAACTATGCATAGTAGGTTTAGTTCCAGCATCAGAATAATAATAATACTAATAATCGGGCGGTGTTTCAAAGGGGGGCTTTTGCCTGTGGGTGCCTTAGCTTCTCATGAGCCCCAGTTATTCGGGTAAAATGGATAGGACCAAAAAAAATTCTTTCAGTGGAGATTGGGACTTCACTCACGCGAACTCTTGACTAGGACTTAATAAACTGATATGTATACAATGATAAAGTGTGACAATGAAAGGAGGTTCAGCAGGGCGAAAAGATCAGCCTAGCCTCAGAGCTCGATGACAGTGACGTTGATGGAGGGGAAAGAAATTGAGATCTGTTGTGATGAATCATTTCTTGTGCGCACGTCAAGCTGAACGGATGTGGCCCAGAAAGGGCAAGGGGCGACGTGCCTCGCCCGAAGTGGCCCTTGATGCCCGCACATTCAGG